GAGAGGGCTATAGAGGCAGTCTCTCCAATACTCTTGGTTTCCATGACAGGGAGGGAAAGTCACAGTCTCAGTCTCATCTGTCTGCAGAGACTGCAAGACACCACCCATTTGTTCTTTCTGAATACTGAGCAGATTTGGGAGGTTCCCTGTTAGCACCTCTATTCTACCCATCTTTTTTTTTCTACCCTAGGATCCCACTGCATCCCCACCCCAAGAGCCCAACTGCTGATGCTGCACCGAGCAGCAAGAGGCAACTGCTCCAGTTCACCTATGAGCTTGCAGCCAGAGCAGCAGAGACAGAGAATCAGGTGAGGAACAAAAAGCACTCAGATTATCTCCTAGTGGTACAACCCCAGAACTACACTTAAGATCTAACGTAGCTTGAAGATAAAAGGCTACTGAGAATGTGTTACTGAAAAACCTTGTGGTCCTACCCAAATCAGAATTACTGACAGCTATTTTCCCTGTCTATAACACAGGGGGTTAATGGCTGTTTGTCTACCATACAAGAAGGCTTGGTCTATACTTTAGCAACATCAAGTACAGAGATGGTTAACATAGCTAGCTACCTGTCTGATCAGGTGCAGAGTTTTTAGTAGGCAGCAGGACTGCAGAGGGGATAAATATCCCCTTTTAATCTTAGCTCTGTAGCCTTCCACAGAGCTCCCAGGGGGGCACAATCAGCTGGGGAAAGTATCTGAGGAGTGGGAGAAACAGAAGCTAGTTTAGGACTAGATCCAAGCCATTAAGGAGTCTGTCCAAATTGAATTAGGCATTGAATCTTAGCCCCTAAGAGAAATGGGGGACAGTGATGGAAAGAAAATGCTTAAAAGAACAAAAGCAGTATACAGTTTGAAAGAGGAAGTGAAAAAACACAGCACACCTACCAGAATGGAGACAGACTATTTCAATGACTGAGCTAGAGAAAGCAGCCTGCTGCCTTACCCTGTCAAAATAATCCACTACTTTCAGAGCCCATGCAAGCTGCTATATAAAGCCCTCAACCAGACTCCCTTGCAGTCCTGCCTATGTAATGATGACACCAAAAAGGGGTTACGTGTGCCTCTGATGTTATTAGCAGCAGCTGCCTCCCTCAGCAAAGTCAAGAAAAGGGGATTAAGAGGAAGGTCCTGCTACATAAAACAGCTTTGCCTGCCTTTACCTTTTTGCTTTAGTATTTCTCTATTCCATTCAAAGCCCTGATCAAGGCATCTTGGAACTTGAAAAGTAAATAAATGCTTGGAAAACATTACCCTCACCCACCTGCTGGAACTGCCCTTTCTGAGTGATGCCTATGGAGGGAATTCTCTGGGTATATTAAATATAGGGGTATCCAACAGTCATGTCAAGAGAAGCAACTTTAACTTCCACAAAATCCAGCTTAAAATGTGCTAGCAGCTCCTCAGCATGCTTTGATACCAGTGCCACATAAACCTGAAGACCTTTTCCTTGGAAGGAAATAATGAAATGGTTGATTTGTACTGACTCTTAAACACAATGCAAGTCATGTTGTTGAAGCCTGTTTTTTCCTGTTTTCCATCAATGGCAAGGCCTGAAAATTAACTAATGTAGGAACACATGACATCGCTCTCCTGTTTTTCCTGCATATGCTGGAGAATGGTCTTTACCTACAAGGATTTATACAAGAAAAAGCTGAAAGTTCAAGGGGAATTTGAGGAAGTAGGACACAAATGCCCAACCTAAAACTTAAGCAGGACACCAGAACTAAAACCTCTGCTCCTTCAAAAAGGGTTAGGGGATTTTTAGCAATTGTAAGTGGCCAAAAGCCCTGTTTTGAATTGCATCCAAAAATATCTTCAGCAACACAGCTCACCAGTGCCAAGACAAGGCATTATAGACCCGGAAGGAAGGATACCCCACACTGAGTCACTAGCACCACTTCTTAAAGTTGTCCAGACCTAGTGTTATCCAGCTTCTAAGATCTGGCAGGAGCCCACCTGCCTGCAGTATGAACAGTGATAATCTCTCCTCTGCTTCCGCAGGTTATAGAATTAATGCAGAGGTTTAGGGAAATGCTTTAGCCTGCATCATAACCAGGGGCTGAGGCCAAGGCAAGGTGAAAGAGGGACTAGAAACAGAAACTAAGACAGCATCTTCACAAGTATTTTAAACACTTAAATATTTTCTGCCTTGTGCAATTCAACTGAGGTCAAGTGTCTATAATAGTGTCAGTCATTGACCTTGGTTTTCCTGTTTTCAGAGGGTACTTTCCAGCTGTTCTAAGATGCGTTCAGTGTGCAGCATGAAGCAGTGATGAGCATGTCAGAAGAGGTGGTGCTAACTGCAAAGTGGATATAGGGAACAAGCAGCAAAGGGTGAGTAGTGACAGGGGGAAGGCGTTACACCTAGAGGCATAGGCGTGTGCTTCCCCGCCATAAAGGTCAGGCTAGTTTAAAAAAGTCTAAAGGTAAAGGCCATCTGAAGCACCTCATTCCTGTTGGCATTAGTGATGGTCCTACAGCAGGGCTCATTTGCATGAGCAGATTCAAGTGGGAGACAGGAAGTCTCATAGAAAATGCTTGGGAGAGAAAGAGCAGTAGTAGGCTGGGTTCTTTATGGGGAAGATCTAAGGTTCCACCTCAAGCAGAGGATGGGATCAGCTCCCAGGTGAATCCAGCAGCATAGAGCCTGACCAATCCTGGAGTCATAGTAGCTGGGCTGGGAGCCATGCAAAGGTAATCACGTGTTTGTTTTATCATGAGGTTTCCACAGTGCAAAGGCCCCCCACCCCCAAGTCCAAATCTACATACTCCCACTCCTGCTGTCTGCACTTGTATCAGCAAAGCAGGGGAAGTGGTTTTGCTCCCCATCAGCCACAGCCCCTTCTTCTCCCTCTCAGGGCATGTGGGTAGCTGTGGGAGTGAGGAAGGGTTACAGAAAGGGTTTTTCTGCTGAACCAGGCAGAAGTGATTAATAAAGTTCTCTTTATTACAGACCTGCAAAAGGAAATCCATAGACATTTATCTTCATTATCTTTATAAAACAGCAGCAGGGGAGAACATGGCAAGGGCCCAAGGACCTGCACAGCATTGAGACCCATCCCAGCAACAGGGGGATGGAGGGATAAGGATGTAGGTTTTACACACAAGGCAGGGCAGTCCTCTGACTTTAACAAATCCACCTGGACCACGTGGGTGTCTCACACCCCACAGAGTAGTAGTCATCTCTTGATCTGGGCCAGTATAGAACAGACCAAATGATAAACATCCCTTCTTTAATTTGGCAGCAGCCCCATTCCCCTTACTGCCAGCTTTTCCCTAACAGAGCTGGATGGCTTACTCCAGCTACTCCCCCCCAACTTTCTGAGGATGACCATTCTCATTTCTCTTCATCCCTCAGCACAGCTCAGGGATACTGCTGCCCCAGAGGAGAGGCTGGGCTGCAACCCCCTTCCCCCAACCCAAGCCTCACAAGGAAAAAAGGGGGCACTGATTCTACAAAGCAGTTCATCTTCCCCTTACCCCTCCCCAGATAAGACAACATAAGACACGGACAATTCTAGAGGTCTGGGCATGTTCACTGGTCATCCCTCTTCCTCAGGCTTTAATGAGTTTTTTAAGGAATGCCTCCAGCTGATCCTCATCCTTTATCCCTACAAACTTGTCCACCACGTCTCCATTCTTCATGGCCAGCACGGTTGGCACTGCAGAGACCTGGAAAGGAAGTGGGGAAAGAACAGACACACACACAGTCAGCTATGTTTGAAGAAGCCTGGCTGCCAAAGGATTTGGGGCCTACCTTGTGATCCTTGATGGACCAAAAGGTTTTGACAACTGATTTTCTTGATGGTTTTGACATTAGAAACTTAGGGCTTCCTTCTCCAAGGAGCCACTATGGCAGGAGAACTAGGGAAACAGCATCCCGACAAAAAAGTGAAAGCTGAATAATGGAGCTGGGTAGTTGAAAACATTGGGTTTCCCCATGTACAGGTATTTGGCTTCAACAATAGCTCAACATTTGTCAAAAGGAAGTTTCTGTTAGTAACTCAATCCTCTCAGGCTTTTCAGTTAAGGGGTGAGAGCTAACAGCATACAGCATCCTAACACAACCCCCAGCAAAACCTAGGGGAAGCCCAAGCCAACATTTCCCACATGTCTGAAGCCTCATCCCTGTACTAGTTTAACTGAAATACCATCTTTTGAATGCGATGATCTCCAGATACATTGTAATGGGAGGAGTGGAACAGTGCTTTTCTCCAAGGAGGATGGAGGGGGTGTGGCTGTGAACAAGGGCTCCCTACCCTCTCCTCAGCCTGGGAGAAAAATCCGCCTTCCAGCCCCAGATTGTGCCCTGACATCCTTTATCTCTTCTTTCTCCTTGCACTTGGCAGTGTGATGGCAGCCTGTCAGCGACCATCTGCTAGTGATCCTGTGAGTAGGCAGGAAAAGGAAAGCCTCAGATCTAAGCCGCCAGACAGCTGTAGTACTTTGGGCATTCCTCTCTCAGGCAGTTCCCCTGCAAACTTTGTTTCGAACAAAATAGTGCAAAGCACTAGAGAAAGTGTCTCTAGAACTTGGTGGGGGAGTGCTGAGAGGAAAGAGGCCTTGTGGACATCTTTTTGAGAAGGCATGTGGAGGCTCAAACAGTTGTGGAATGACAAGGGAAAGAATTTGGTAGCATTTCAAGATAGCTGCAGGCCCCACTGCTTCAATGCCCTTATCTGTACACAACCTAGCCTTCTGGAACATGTCCCATCCTTATCTCATACACTGTCCATCTCCTGAAAAGCCTCATCTCCTTAATTCCCAGCTGTGTTATGTCCTGCTCCCCACAGGGATCTGCCACACAATTTCAACCTCTCCCTCCCTCAGGAAACTCTTCAGGGATCTGGCTCTTCTCTCATCAGAAGGTTGAAATGAAAAGAGACATTTTATGCACCTCTTCCCACTCCCTCACTGCTGGTCAATGCAGATCCGTTCCTTCCAGCCCTAACTCCAGCACTTTGAACAGTCCCAATCCAACACCACAAAAAACAGTAGCCCTGCCATTTCCTGCAGTGCTTGCTTAATTTCTGTTCTTCAGTCCCCCCTAGTGGCTACTTGCAGGATCACTCCATAGCCCTGAAATACTATCACTAGGAAGATATAAAGTAGAGCTATGCGAAATTTCAGCCGCCGCTTCATTTTGGAGGTGTTTTTGGGTGCCAAAACAGCCGAACACCAAATCCAGATTGAAACAGAAGGATCAGAAACATCTCCAAAAGGAAATGAGGCATCCAAACATTTTGGAAATGTTTCGGAAAATTTCGGAGTTTCAGAGCCGGGTTTGCAGGGAAACATGCACACTGCTGCCCTGCTGTGTGACTCGGCTTAGCAGGAAGCAGAGATCTGAGCTAGGGTCTCCCTGCCACTGCTGCCCACCTTGTGCAGCCCCGGATCTCTGCTCCCTGCAGAGCCAGGTCACGCGGCAGGCACCAGCACTGCCCTGTCATGCAACCTGGCCCCACAGGGAGCAGAGATCTGTGCCGGGGTCTCCTTACCGCTGCCGCCCATTTCACGCAGCCCCATGTCAGTGGGGCAGCACTGGGTGGGCAGCAGTGGTAAGGAAATCCCCGGCACAGATCTTTGGTCCCTGCAGAGCTGAGCCATGTGGCAAGGACCAGCAGGCTTGCTTGCCACTCTGCGTTGTTTCCCTGCTCTGCAACCTGGCATGACAGGGATCAGAGACCCATGCAGGGGTCTCTTTGCGTGCATGGAGCGCAGCAGCCCTCCCCCAGACAAGCCACCTATGGCCCTGTCTTGGTCCTCGCTGGGGCCCCAAGTCCCTGACCCCAAGCCCCACCCAGCTGGGTAAGGGCTGTGCAAAGCTTGCCTTGCAGCCTGTTCGAAACATATTCAGAGGAGATTCAGCAGAACCCAACCTCCAAAACAGATTTGGCTGAAACAAAACAGGACAGTGATCTGAAACACCGAAAACGAATCACTGTCCTCCAAGACAGCTGAATCTGAAATCGATCTGAAACTCAGCCATTTTGCACAGCCCTAGCACAGAGTTAGGAATGGTGCTGTTAATGTGTTTGTGTGCAAGCTGTAAAGACCAAGAGAGCTTGGAGTTTGCTTTGACTAGCCCCTCCTGAGACAGCATGGTTCTGATGCTCCCGAGATCCTTCTCATTTCTAAAACAGGTTAATACCACGCAGAGTTCCTCCAAAGTATCTATAAGATAACCTCATATTTAGCTATGCAGCAATTTTAAGGATCATGATTGGTGAGGGACAGGAGGAGCTCTGAGTACTGAAGAACACCAGTCTGTAATAGATTTCCTGACACAGCAGGCCTTTGCATGTGGGCCAATATGACTAGAAACTTCAGGCACACTGACACCAGCCAAGCCACCTTTTCCCATATGCCCTGAACCACAGAAAAGCATGGGGCTAAGAATGCCTCTCCCTTGCTCGGTGAGGTTTGCGTTGGGCCTCTAAGAGGTGCAGCAAACTTGCCATCTCAGGGAGGAGAGTTATGATGGCTTGAAGCCCCTTTTATGCCCCCCTATTCACAGTCTGATCTGAGAACTGAGCCATCCCGGCTCTGAAAGTCCTAGTGATTTGTTTTTATGACAGAAGCCTCCCAGGCCTGCAGGCAGAAGCACTGCCCTAGAGTGCCTGAAGACCCTGTGAGGAGAACAGCAAAATGGGCCTTGTTGGAAATTCTCCAGGGAAACAAAGTTCCTTGATCTTCAAATGTTTTCTTTGAGACATCTTGGGTTTGATGAACTTTCGCTGACTTCCAGGCAGGACTTCAAAGGCTCTTGGCAGGTTTGTCCCATAGCTGAAAATCCTGGAAGCTCTGGATTCCCAGCTCTGGGGCAGTTTGTGTCAGGAATACAAAGTGTATTGTTTTGGGCAGACCCACCAGGCAGACTGCCGTGTCAAGGCTGCAGCTTGTTGGAGTTTCCAGGCTCTCTGTGCCCTGGAGCCAGGAAGTCCTGGTTCTATCTGGGATCCCTGCAATACAGCAGGGCTGAAGCTCTGATTATCCCAGATGGAGCCAGGGCTCTTGGAGCTTCTAGGTTCTCTGCTATAGTCTGTGCCTCTGGGGCAGCCTCTTGCAAGGGCATTCAGGGTCTGTGGCCCTGACATTTGCTTAGCAACTTTGACCTTGTTTTCAGTTTTATGCAAACAACAACAGCCAAGAATATCAGTATCACTGAGGAGATGCAGGGCCTGAGGAATCCGTTTTGTTTTGGTGTTTCTGAATTTCCAATGAGCAGGAAATTAAAAACAAAGAGAAATTTCCCATCAACCAGTGGGTCTGGGCAATGCTAATCAGAGGACGCTTTAAGGGCTGTTGTCTGTAGTACCTGCCACAGACGCATTTTCCTACCACTAAAAGTGGGTCTTCTGCAACTTCTGATCTCATATAACCAGAGCAGAGGGGAAGACTTCATCCACTGACCTTAGGAACAATGCAGGAGCAAGCTACATTGCTGAGGTGTCTGCAAGCTAACAGCTTTTTAGTTACCCTGCCAGTAAGAGAAGCAGCTGCTACTTCCCGGCTGGGCTAAACACGCATGCTGACAATAAGTCAAGATAAGAGGTAAAGCAAGAGAGAAACCAAGGTGAGAATGGATCAAAGCTGAAGCGCACCTCTCTGCTTCTGGGGTATAGGTTGTAGCCGCGTTGGTCTAAGGACATAGGCAGACAAGGGTTAGCCTGACAAAGGGTTTTTGAACCCAAAAGCTTGCTTAAAAATTGTTCTCCAACTATTTAAGTTGGTCTAGTAAAAGATATCAGACTCACCCAAAGAACCTTGTCTGCTTTTCTCTTTCTGGCCTTCTGGCAATTGGTCAGGAAGAGGCAGGACAGTAGGGAAGAAGCCTTGGTCAGAACTCTGATGAGAACAGAGCACTGGAGGAGGAGAAGGGACTCAGCCTGTCAGGAAGATGGAGTTTTGTCTTGCAAGGAATTGAAGGAGGAAAGGGTCTCTAGGTGGTTTCTAGTAGAAGGAAACGTGCCTGGGATGCGTGCTAAGCTGGAACAGCATGGAGCCAAGGGCAGGCACCAGCCCATGCAGAGGAATGCGCAGGCATTCCACAGCTCTCCAAGGGGGTCTCTCTCCTCCCAGATAATCTCCTGCAGAGAGGGTGTTGTGCAATACCAGGCTGGGCAGCCAGCCCGTGTCTGCCTGCAGGGAGGGAGATACACATGGGAGGATGGAGCTTTATTGGCAGCTAGTAGGGGGAATCAGAGGGTTGGGGAAAGGGCACTGAAAATCCCAGGCTGCAGGCTAAGAACAATTTCAAAGCTCTGGTCCCAAGTGGAAGGGCCTTAAAAGTCCCTGTTGCTCAAGGATGCTGGTGGTCCAGAAATAGGTATTGTCTTACAACACCCTGGACACCAACTCCTCCCTTGTGTGCTCTTTTAGAACATCACGGAGTGACTGGCAATCCCCTCCCACCTCTACGCTCTCAGCCCCTGGGCCTAATGCACTAGCATCACTGAAGTTGTATCAGGCAGATGGTGGAGGATGCAGGATCCCCAACACTGGAGATCTTCAGCCCCCCTGTGAAATATGTACCCAGCTGACTTTTGACTATGTTTACATTCTAGGTGCAGGAGGACAACCTTGGAATCCAGTTCTTGTCGGAGAATGAATCCCAGATGCCCCTTATTCTCCACCCCTCAGGATCATTTTGACTATTCAGTTTGTTTAGGAAGATTTCCCTGTCCCAAATGCAGATCAACTCTTCCCTTATTACACTGCACATTTTTAAATCTCTACAGCCTCTTCTAGAGGAATCTGAACTTCAGGGCTGTAATTGTAGATTTCTTTTCTACCACCTCTCTCTAAACATGGGTGTTATTTGCTGTTTTCCTGTCACCTGAGACAAGTTGAAATAATTGTAGGTGATGCATTCTTCATTACCTATACAAAGGTATGGAACAAGCTACCCAGTACCTAATCATATATCACTCCTGGGTAAATCAGTCCTTTTCCAGTTTCCTAAGTTTCTTGGCTATAAGTTCTTCCTTGCCACCACCAAAGCCACCACTCTCTTCACCAACACTCTCAAAGATACCCTCCCTACTTGCAGTACAAGACCCCTATAATCTGGACATGTAGCCTTAAATACTGCAGCCTTGATCTGGACACGTGTCAGGATGCTGTCAGAGGAGAACCCCACAGGTTCCGTCTCCAACCTTGGAAGAAAGAAATCATACTCCATTGCTGCATGGATGCCAGGAGCAGAGACTCCCTCCCCACCCCCAAAAACTTAGGGAGGCAAAAGATCAAGAGAAGAAGCTGATGCCTCTTCACTCTCCAGGGTTAACTACCACAGCCTCTGAGGACCAGCACATGACACTTTACTCTTTGCAAGATGGCTCTCCTTGGAGAATCTGACTGGCTGTTTGCTGGCAGATACATCTGAGTAATTTGTCCTAACATCTACCCTGGCAGAACTTCAATTTGTGATTGCAAAGAGAAGCAGCAATTCTCACCTATCCAATGGGCGAGTAAAGATTAATTATTTCACTGCCAGTTCTTACTGAAGAGTAAGGCAGCAGCCTTCTTTCTGTTTGGACATTACTAGGATTGTGAAGGGGAAGATACAAGGTTCACTGAGCAGTACTGGAGGGACTTTTCAGTGTCTCAAATCAACTAGTAAAGGATAAAAGAATAACAGAATCACTGGCTGGAGCCTTCTCTTAACATTCTGCTCTTAAGACTCATGGTTAACAGTGGTGAATGGAAAGAATACTACATGTACAGCAAGAGATGTGTTAATCGAAGCTGTTAGGTTCCTGCCTACGAGTAGGTCAACATGTTTATTGATCTCTCCATAAAGCTACCTGCACCCCAAACAAAACCAATATACTGCTTTGGTGAAGTAGCTTGAAGATAGGGTATGAACACTAATGGAGCCTGCAAATGAGAGGGGCTGGAGTGGTGCGGCCTTGCCTATATAGACCTTTTAGGACATCTGTAAGAGGATGCCAGGGTAGCTGCTGGGACCACTGTCACTCTTCAGGCTACTTTGTGTGGAGCAGCTGCAAACCAATACTGTGCTTAGACTGCTGCAATTTGTTACATACTTGTACTGTAGGGGGCAAAATGGGATGCAGGGTCTCCAGGGGCTATTGCAATAGAAGGAGCAACATTTCTAAAGGGCCCCAAGAGCAGCAACCAGCAAGGCTGTAGCTGATGACTAAAGGGGGGTGTTCATTAACAACACGAAAATATTGGCTATCAGATCCCCTCCACCTCTTCAATACAGTTTTACTGCTGTGTGCCCTTTTCCTCAGGGCAAGGACACCATGCTGCCCCACATCAGCCCTTGCTAAAATGAAGCCCTTGTGCACCTGGCTCTTACCTCATATTCAATGGCGAGGTCTGTGTGATCATCAATGTCCACCTTAGCCATCAGCACCTTCCCCCGCTGCTTGGCCACCATCTTCTCTAGCCTGGGGCCCAGGATCTTGCAGGGGCCACACCACCTGATTGGAAAGAAAACGAGCAGGCATTACATCAGCAAAGTGCAATAGCAACCATAGTATAGTTCAGTTCACACTGTTCCTGGTATTACACTGGCACCTTACTCATCTCACCACTCCTTCTCTGCACTGACCTTTACACTCCGAAAAATGGCTAATATTTGAACACAGAGCGTAAACATTAACCAGCTCTGGTTCTGCCAGCAAAACTCTGGGTGCCTTCACACACAAAGGTCCTCCAGAGTGGCAGCTCCCTCTTTTGTGCCAGCAGAACTAAACAGCCTCTACTGTGTGCAGTAAGGCTTCTGCCACTACCTGCCACGTGGCAGAAGGAACATGTAGATGTTCCCATGCCTTGTGCCAGCTGCCATCATGCCTTTTGCAGCTGGTCCCTCCCCTCATGCACTTCCTGCTTGCGCAGCCAGGCACCTGAGTGGAGCTGTCAGAGGGCATGGATGTCCATGTGCTCCAGCAGCTGTTGCCTGTCACTAGAGCAAGCTGAGTAAAGATGCAGATTAGAAAATAATACTGTTGTCAAGTGACAGTACAGTTTAGGGAGAGGCTGCTCTCAGACTATTGGGGGTGGGGGGAAGAAGGGGGTTGTTCAGTGCTACCCATTACTCTTGAAATACTTTTAGTCTTCAGGTAATTGCTGGGTTTTCCTAAAGCAGAGGCAGCTCTATTAGAAAGCATATTGCCGTTCCCAAGCTCTGGTATTAGCAAGAGTTTGCAGAGCTGGCACCAAAGCCTCTGAAAAGAAAAATTGTTCCTCTCTCCCTCTGATTGCACTTGCTGTCATACTTCGTACTTACATTAATCCCTGACCCTACCACCCTGCAAACAGGGAAAAAACCCACAAACTATTCAGAATAGGAAAAACATTAAATAAAAGGACAAAACAAGAACTCCCAAACCCTTACATCATGGTTTAGATTAGTGGGGAGCAATTAGGCAGGAGTGCCATAAATTGGTTCTCCCAGAGTGTCACTCCAATTCTCTTCCTGCTGCTCTGCTTTCTATTTCTGGTCCTTTGTTCCCTGCCCAATCTACTGCTCTGCTTTCTGCTTCCTGACCTATCTGCTCCTGCGCTGCCTGTCCCCTCCCTTATAGTCTGCATGCCACACTCAGAAGCTGCCCATGCCACTTATGGCATGCATGCTGCGCACTGGTCACCCCTGGCTTAGACGGATATTACAGCAGCTCTTGCTCCCTACCAGCCCTGCACTTGCATCTCTGAGATTCTGCAGATATTAAACTGCTCCTCTCCCTCACAGAGTCCGTAATAGTTCCTGTTTCACTTTGTCCATCTCAGCCACTGAGGGTTCCAGACTCTTTTATGCTCTGTGTTCATACAGCACCTAGCACAACTGTATCCATATTAATGGGTTACTAAGACACAACTAAAAATCAAAGATAATTAAATATTACAATATTTTCACTGCTAGAGGCAGCAAAATTGCTGTTGATGCCAATTAAATGCTACCAAAAGTCTTTGTCAGTATCAACTCATTCGCACTAGTGAAAAGTCCTCTCAAAGAAGAGACAGCATTCAAGAAGACTTTATGAAAAGAGGAGATTATAGCAAGCTATGAACTTCTTAGCAATTATATCTGGTCGCCTGGATTCCGGGGGCTCTCCTAAAGAAAAGCAGAAGATACCCAAAGGAGCATTTAAGGAATGATTTAAAAACTGTACGTAGATTTATTCAGTGTGCACAGCTTCACTTGTATAAAACCACTTGTGTGCTGTAATTTGTTCTAATTGTCGGCCTGGATCTTTAAGTCTATAAAGAAAATCTAGCAAGCTTGTGGAACATATTCAGTCATAAGAAGTGTCATTATGACACCATAAAAAGAGCATCCCATGAGCCATAATGGGAGTCACATAAAACGTGAGGCAGTAAAATGCAGCAATGAAATAGATTCTGCTGTTTGTCACTGTCACTGTAGGCTGAGAATAACAGAAACTGAAACAATCGTGTATAAATAAAGGGCTTATTAAAGTCTTGACTTGCTAGTAATTTTATATTATATTTATTGACATATTAATGAGATACTACAAACACGATGCTTTTTATAAGGGTATTTAAAATATTTTGTAGTCTTATTGGGACACTCATTTTACAGCATGGGTGGAGCAAGGGAATGGCTAAATTGATGCAGAGCAACTTCAGGGATAGAACAGGCTGCCTAGAGAAGTTGTGGAATCTCCATCCTTAGACATTTTCAAGAGCTGATTAGACAAGACACTTGACTGGGATGGTCTTAGTCAGGGCTGAGCCTGCCTTGAGCTGGACTAGACGACATTGTAAGCATCATCTTTGAGTTCTCTCTCATAATGCAGCACAGTGTTAAGTCCAAATTTCCATCAGAACCTTTGACAGCACAGCTGTACTGGCTAAGGGTGCAGATTTGTCTACCATTTTAATGCCAGCAAGAGCCTTAGTCTAGAGACACTGTTACACCAATAAAAAAGCATTTTTACCCAAATAGTTTATTTTATTCACACAATGTGGTATAAATTATGTCAGCAAAGCATTTATTTTGCCAGCATAAGCTATGCCTACAGTACATGAGTGGGCCAGCAGGGGACAGGCACTGGCAAACGTCTTCTAGTACAGACTTGGCTTCACATAGCTTTGTTTATACATGGGTCAGAACATGCCTCACAAAAGGCACTGTTATCCCTGATTTACTGAAGATGAAACCAGGACCAAGAGAATTAAATCACTTGTCTAGAGGCTGAAGGCGATCAGCTGTAGGATCCAAGACAGAGGAGTGCCCTGAAGAGACTATTCTCACTGCCCATTGTCAGTACTCACTGCGCATGAAAATCTATCACCACGGGCTTTGCACTGTTGATGACTCTGTCCTGGAAGTCTTCGCCATCCTGGATGTTGAACGTGCTTCTGCAGAGAGGAGTGGTAGAAAACGTCTTAACAGAAGGAAGTAGAGGGGCCTGTGCCTGGTGCAGGAGGGAACGTGGCCTGCTGGGGACAGAAGATGCCCTAGAGAGGAGCAGCGCAGGCTGGGACCGAAACGGCGCAGACAGCTTCTTAGGAGAGGAAGCTAGAAGCCTCTTGAATGCGAGTGTCTGGGCCATCTGCAGAGAGAGAGAGAGAGAGAAAGAGAGAGAGGAAAAAAAACAAAACCTGTTTGAGGTCAAATCCTTCTAAGATGAGGAGGGAGATAAGACAGTTGGGTATCACTAGATACTGTCCACGAGAGGGGAGGCACGAGCACCTAAGGCCAGAAAGAAGTGTGATCTTCACAGCCCCACACACATGAACACATATATCCCTTAGTCCAGCCTGAACACAGTGTAAACTGGAAGCAGACATACAAGCCTTTTAAGCCAGCTGAATACTGCCTGTATGGTTCAAAAGTGTACCTGGAACCTAAAGCCCATTTTGAATCAGTTTATTAGGAACCGGATCAGCATCATGTGTGGACACCAAGTGTTCCATGACATGTTTGGCCAGCCCTCCAGGCATCCCACAGTACACTGCTTGTCACCCCTCACCCCAACTGCTGCAACTGGCTGCTCTGGTATACAGCCAAATCTCTGCTGCTCCCCCGACATACTTGCCTTTCTTTTCATTGGCACTGTTTACTCCCAAGCTTTTTTATACTGCTTGTTCGATTAAAACAACCTTTCTAATAACCAGCTGTATCCCCACTCCCTACTTGGCTGCAGCCCCTCATCATGGGTTCCCAGGGGCTGGGTGGGGGGACATACAAAAGCAGGGGTCCAAAAACCCCCCACCCCAGGTCAGGACAGCAGACCTCAGATGTTGGTCAGTCGCAGGCTGCTGCTGTATACTGAACTCGTGTTCAAGAGAGAAAGCAACACAGAAGAGTGAAAACTCCCCCAGCTAGAGATCACCCACCCCCAGGGCCCCCCAAACATGGGTGCAAGCACTTTCTACACTTGCCCACTGCCAGGCAGGCTGGGCTGGGTGCTCACCGCTGCCCAGCACGGGAGCCCCACACGCAATCGGGACACAGGTTCTGAGCAGCGACACCAGGGCCTGGTTCGGTTTGCTTGTGACATGCATGCCCTCACCCCCCTGCACCCGGCTCAACCTGGGAAGTACCAAGGTGCGGATTATGGGGGAGTTGCCCCCCATAAGATTTGAAAATCATAGCCTAGGGGGTCTTTGAGCAGATTGCTCCTTTGGTTCAGTGGACTTGTTAATCAACGAACACCTTTAATTTTTTTTGCAGACCCTCCCCCCCAAGAGTCAAAGTGTAATTCAACCCCTAAGAAGTACCAACAGTGGGTAAGTGCTCCTGCGCCCAGGGCTCCCCTTCGGGGCCAGCACCCGCCTGCCCTGGGCCTGGGGTGCTGTGGGGCCCCACCAAGCAGGCAACTGCCCGAGAGTCAGCGAGGTTGCACGGCAGCAGCCAAACCCCCACGTGTAACTGGGGCCAAGTCCAGAGGCCCCCAGGATCCCGCCCCCCGCCAGTCCTCACCTTTCAGGGACCGGAGGTCGATACAACTCCCGAGTGCTCCTGGGGCAGGCTGCGACCTCATTGGCTGGGGAGGAGGAGCGCGAGCACGGCATTGGCTGCGAGATGGATCTGTCAGCGGCCCGCGCAGGCAAGTATTGGGAGCTGATTGGCTTATGGTACCGGAAGCTTCCGAGCGCCCCCCCCCGGCTCCTCCCGAGCGCTGATTGGCTGGCGAGGACCTTTGGTGGGCTACATCTGGACGCTGTTTGGCTCCCTTCTGTGTGTGTGGGGTGGGGTTTTCGGCGCTGGTTGGCTGTTGGGGAAGGTGAGTCTTTCTGTGCGGGGGAAACAGGCCGAGCCCCTGCAGCGTGGGCTAGACGGGGGAGCCGGTTTGGGGCTGCCTGCTGGGCCAGTGGTGTCCAACAAACCGAGGGGCAGGCAGCAACCAGCCCGTCTGTCCGGTGCTTTCCTGGTCGCCGGTTTGTGGGTCTGGAGGTGCACCTTCAGTCTTTGCCTCACGGCTTGGAGTTCCCAGCCTCTGATACACCTTACAGACATGGTGCAAACCACGGCTGAATCGCCCCATAAATGTATTGACTTTATGGAAACGGGGGACTCCTAGCTTGCTGCTGGGGGGGCAGGTGAAACCCCGAGGGCATCTGAACCCCAAGCCTCTGGGCTTGGGCCTGCATGTGGGATGCTTGCCAAGGGATTTGGAAGCACAGCTACTACTTAACATCACAGTTACGTTCTTGGAAAAGGTGACTTGCAGCGAAACGATGTTAAGCAAATCTAATTACATCAGAGTAGTTGCCTACTAGCAAACCACCTTATAACCAAATGTTGCGTGATTTTAAATGAGTATGTTCTCTAATACAGCAGCCACGTAATAACAGAACAATACTAACCAGGACAAAGTTAAGTGAGGGGTGCCTGTATCTGAAGCCCTGGGCTGACAAGTCTGGGGTGGAAGATGCTTGCTGGTTGCAGCGCCACGTGGTGGTTTTTTTTTGTTTTTTTTTGTTTTTTTTGAACCAAAGGGTTGGGAACTGATCTGGATAATTTGGCCTGGAGCATGAAAAAGTTTCCAAAACATTAAAATGTAGACCAGCGGCATGTGCAAAGTACTTCTCACGGTGTTCACTGGTGAATCTTGCAATACATGTAGACTAGCTGCACACGCAAAGCAATTCTCCCACCATAAAAATGACTATGTAGCTATCAAAAAAGTCAGCCCACTGCAAAGTTACTGCTTGAGAAGGTATAACAGCTCTGTAGCTGGTTTCTAGCCAGTTTTCATTTGAATGTGTAGCAGGGCCCTCAGTCGTAAGATGCTGAGACTCTTATGTTGTCTCTTGATTCAGCTGCTCAGGCTTTAAGATGGAAACTGTCACTTCTAAGGAACCTGCGGTTCCACACCAGGTAATGCAGGTGATCCAGTAGCTGGCTGGCTTTTTTATGAGCCAATACTGATTTATCCCAGGGCTGTGCAGTGCTCTGGTGCAGGATGGCTGCTGTTCCATGTCCAGAGGGTGCTTTCTCATCACAGCAGATGGAACAACACCCGTGTGGATTATAAAGCAATTGAGGATACTACATACATCAGTATAAATGTGAAGGTAATCATTAATTCATCATCAACAACGCTCTTCATGCCAACAGACTGATGCACCAAGTTTGAAGACTACCAGGAGACTGACATTGCCTCCTATAGATATTTTTGCTCCCAGATGCAAACAGACCATATTTTGCAAGCTGAAAGCAAGCAGGCAACCTAGCTAGTTGTGATATCTTCATTCTGGCTCTGTTATTTTTACCTGACATAAAAATATCCCTTCGTAGGGCTTCTAGGCAGTTTTCTCTTTATGCCTGCTGGTATTTAATCTTGAGTGAAAGTGGGGATACTGGAAAGACTAATTCTTGTTTCCAAACCACATGCATTACAGGTGACAGAAAATGTGGTACTGACGAAAGCAATTTTTTGTCTGGTGCAGCTAGTTCAGATCCCATCAGTAACCACCCCCTGATGGTTGCAAAATAAGAACATGTGGCTGCCCTAGAAATACCAGTTAACTAATCTGCTATCTATTAAACTAGAACACTTTTTAAAAGAGTCAAGAGACAAGGAGGAGGTGGGCACCTTTCAAAGGATGATGGAGCAGCTTGAGAAAAACACTTTGTTTGGGTGAAAAGTGTAGATCAACAGAATTGAAGGCTGAAGTCAGTGTTGCTGGATATAGGATTATGATACTTGAACAGCAGAATTATCTTTGTGTGATGCCTGCCAGATAGATAAGAAGTCAAAATGCCCAGCAATTCAGGAAGACCCAAACAACACTTGAATCTGAAAGAAAATGTTTATATTTGATCTTTGTGCTGGCCTTCATAAGGGTGGATTTGCAGGGAGGCATGTGATAGCCTTGACTGATTCGAAAGGTGAGAGGGTAGATCAGAGAACAAATCCCAAAGTGGAATTTGATACAGATATTAAAGTTTTTTAAGAGATGGGGGTGAGCAAAAGGATCAAAATATTTGCTAGTTATACCAAGTATGGCCATTCGTTAAGGATGAAGAAACCATTCTTCCTGAGAAATCAGGGCAATTGGCTAGTCGCCTCAGCTGTCTGTACACAAATGCACGGAGTCTGGGAAACCGGCAGGAAGAACTGTAAGTCCTTGCACAGTTGAAGAATAATGATGTGATTGGAATAACAGAGACTTGGTGGGATAGCTCACATGACTGAAGCACTGTCATGGATGGGTACAAACTGTTTAGGGAGGACAGGCAGGGGAGGAGAGGAGTTGTGCCTTTGTAAAAGTGGCTCAGACCTCCAGTATGAAAATGGAGACAGGCCTGTTGAAAGTTTCTGGGTTAAGGTTAGAGGGGAGAGCAACAAGGGTGATGGTGTGGTGGGTGTGTGCTATAGACCACCAGACCAGGAGGATGAGATAGGGGAGGCTTTCTTCAGACAACTAGTAGAAGTTTCCAGATCACAGGCACTGGTTCTAATGGGGGACTTCAATCACCCTGACATCTGCTGGGAGGGCAACACAGCAGCACACTGGCAATCCAGGAAGTTTTTGGAGAGTGCTGGAGACAAGTTCCTTGCTGCAAGTGTTAGAGAGGCAAACTTAGGGTTGTGTTCTTTTTGACCTACTGCTCACAAACAGGGACGAGTTGATGGGGGATATACTCTGAATTACAGGGAAGACCTGGTCTGTGTACTCTGAATTGCTTCCTTTCTTTCCAAGGACTGGATCCAATGATGCAGTCCTTTGTGCTGTCTAGAGAAAAAACTCCTATTGACTTCCATGGGTTTTGGAACAGGCCTTGTACTTGTCCCATCTGAACAAAGAGTCAAACCACTCCTGCTGTTGGCTTTTTAAGTATTTTTTTTAAACTTCATTGGAAGAATAGAACCATACAAAACATGTCTGCAATACAACAAAATTACTATGGGCATTAATTCACTTCAACAGGACAGACAAAACAGTGTTTCCCAACCTTTTCCAGCCCAAGGCACACTTACTTTAATTTTTTTCCACAGCACACCAGTTAAGGCATTCCCCATCCTCACACCTATTGTAGCTGATTGCCAAGGAAAAACTCTGTGGCACAGTTCACTTCTGACGGCATACTTTTGTGCCAAGGCACATTGGTTGGGAAACACTGTTAAAATAATGTAACTGGGCACCAGTTCTTAAAGTGCAATTCTTTGATGAAAAGAAGCTATAAAAATGGTATCACTGGGGCTGAGTTTATTGCTCCTTTGTGACTTCCATGTGTGAACTGCCCTTTTAAAAAAGAAAGCTACCCTTCTATTGCCCATCCCCACCTGGGACCCCACAGGCATGCCATATTTCTAGATCTCCAAAAATGATGTTGGAACTCAGCTAGCAGTTCTGTGAATTTTTGATAATTTCTAGTTAACCAAGTTTACTCTCTAAGTAGTATCGACTCTGCAGAGGGTAGCAGAAAGAGCAAATAGCAAAAACTTTTGACTTTCACCTTGACAGCCTTAACCCTGCCAGACGCAGGGAGTTGGTGGCTCCAGTAAGGTGCCATTTTTACATAATTCCTTTTCAAAGTAAAATCACAACTTAAGGCAACACATACACTGTGACTTTACAGTCTTCTGTGGCAACAAGTGAAAGGAAAGTGAGAAAGGGTGCTTGTCTTCAAGTGTGTATATACAGTGGCCCTGCTCTTGGCTTCAGCATTCCTTAAATAACAGATTTGATCCTTTAGGTCTGATGGACCTGTTGTCACTTTCTTGTCTTTCAGTCCCTCCCCTGGCAGTCCACAAGTGGGCAGCCCATTATGCTGCAAACAGGTCCAGGATTGGTGAGTACTGTTGCTGCTTGGCAAATTTAAGGGTTGGATTCTGAAGATGTATTCGTGGCTATAGTCTTCTTAAAATACAAAGACATTACTCCATTGACAGCAGCTAAGAATCTGACTCTCTGTTTCACATTATCAACCCTACAGCAGTTTGTCCAGGGGCTCCTCTGACAGCTGCGTCAGCAGTATTGTCATCAGGGTAAGCCCAGCTTCCCAGTTAGGAATTAAATCCCTTTCAACCATTCACCCACCTCAACTACCACCTGACTTTTTTGAAAAAAAGAAAAAAGAGTAGCTACAAGAGCTAATATCTTATAGGAAGAGCCAGAAAGCTTAAAGGGGTCGTGTGAGATGTCATTTAGGGCTCAGCTGTTGAGGAAAAATTATCCAGATAAAACCATCCCAACCCAACTTCAGAATCATTCCCATGGATATAAACACCAGAGAAAGCGTATTCCCTTCTCCATCTCCTAGAAATCGGAGGTACGTTAGGAAGGCTCCTCTCACATTCCAAATCCAGGGCTCCAATCATCAGTTTTCAGTAGTGACAGATGTGGGGGCAGCAATAAAGTGCAAACAGCTTACTGACCAATGTGTGAAAGATATAAATAGGAATACTTGGGAAAGAAATGTAGGGTAAGCCTTTTAACTTGACTGAAATGCACTGGAAACCTTTGGGAGTGACAGTGCAAACGGGACAGATATTCTACTAAACAAATACAGGGACTCTCCTTCCACACCAGGGCTATTTGGCATGGGAGGGAAAGGAAAGATAGGTGGGCCACTCTAACGACAACTCTCACTGGGATCTAAGCTTGCTAAGCTGTTCACCCTTGGAGGAGTAGGATGGACCTTGTGCCTCTTCTCCCGCACCCCTCCCCCACCATCCCGAATGTAACAGACTGTGATGCCCCCCTCCCCATTAAAACTAGAAATATTGTTCCTTCTGTCCCCCCAACAAGTGCAGGAAATGTCTAATTTCTGAAGGCTGCCCTATAGTACCACTGATACGTCTGGCAAATATACAGTTCTTCAAGTACACATGAGACTGGGCTGGATGCAGCATCCAGTAGCCAGGTAGTCGTCAGTGGACCACCACAGGATGTGATGTTTCACAATCTGTGTATCCCCCTTGACCTCTGGATGCTGCTCCAGGCATTGGTCTACAAGATGAATACAACACTGTCATCAGGCAACTGTGGGCTCTGCAGGGACAAAGGAGAAACCTGAACACTGCTGGATCTCAGCTCCTTATTTCCCCTTCAAAGCACATTGGTCTTCTCAGTAAGAACAGATCTGAGCAGGTCTTTGGCAATTCATGGTTAGGCAAAGGGTTGGGCAGGGACCAAGTGGCACATGGCAAAGGTTGGCACCCTGCTGTAGGTCAACATTATGCAATCACCACAATGGTCCTCATACATTTCGATATAAACAGTGAAAAGTTAAAGTTCATCCTTGGTGTTTATGAGATGCTGCAGTGGGCGACCTGGTATCACGTGATCCTTCAGCAGCTGGTCATGTAGCTCCTTTTGGCCACCAAGTAGCTTATTTGGAGAGTCCACAACAGTGTAATTCTCCATCAAGCTAGCTTCTACTGCATGGCGCCTGAGTCCTTCACTACCCACAAGCCCTTGCATTCTCAGGTATCCCTGCTGACAGGAAGGAGGCAGTTTCTGGCGGGTCAAGGCAAACAGGAAACAGGACTCTATAACAAAGGACAAAGAAAAATCAGTAGAGATTTTGTATAAAAAATAATCCCTGTAGATGCTCCATAAATCACACCTTCCCAGTGTATCATTCAGAATCTAAAGGAGAGCATCTTCCCAGATAGCACCATGGTTTTATTAATCTAAATTAGCTGGGATGGACACCTGTATACCTCAGAGAGGGAGGAATGGCATACCCATTTCTTCTACTTGCTAGCTCAGAGGTGACAGAAGTGCCCCACTGACATTCACATACGTTCTCCAGTCCAGTATTGCATCATTCTCCTCTCTCCTTCAGCAAGCCTATAATGGGATCACCTCCAACCAAAAGCAGTGGTGGATCTAGCAGCATTCACATTTGAGGTGGTGGAGGCTGCAGCCTCATGTGATATTCAATCAAGACCCAACTTACAGTTTAAGGGGGCAGAGGGCAGACAACTCTTCCCTCCTGTCATGACTGAGAACACTGGCTGTTTAGGAATGCGTGAGAGCCTAATATGGCCCCAGCACTTCCTTCTGTTACCTGCAGCATATTAAAAAAACCCAAAACAGATAGGGACTGGTAGGGAGATATTTCCCACCTGCCTTGGAACTAGAAGGATCTATCACATAAACTGGACTCTACCTGCTTTTTGACATCTCTCTCGGGTGTCTCCCTCCCCCATGCCCTCCCAGTGCCCAGATTACCTGCAAAAAAATTGCGCAGGTCAGTGCCCAGGCAATTCTCCAGGAAACGTCTCAGAGGGAGGATATGAGCATTTGGAGCTGTCCAGTCTGTCAGAAAATCCTCAACAATATGATGGATGGCATCTGGGCGGGGAAGAGGCCAGTCTGGAGGACGAAGCCTCATCTTACGCTCTGTTAAGAGATGACAGATCATATTAAGATAGCAGAAAAGGAGCTTTCACCATCCTCTTCCAGGATCAACATGGTATTGTGAAGGGCTTCGGAGACAGGAAGTAAATGCAGCAATAGCTGGTTTATTTTCTCATCCTACTACCTCTCACTTTCAACAGTGTTGCTGCTGCACCTTGCTCTGCTCTATAGTTTGTATCACCTACTATCCTAGTTCTGAGCCCACTCGCAACTCCTTCTGGCCATCAAGTAGTTAATTTGGAGAGTCTATAACAGCATAGTCCTCCAGAAAGCCCCACACTCCTGATCTTCAGCACTGCCTGACCCAAGCAATCCCCACTATGACTCTGTTCCAGGTCCCTCTGAACAGGGACAGCCAGTTATATCAGATTGCACCCAGGCTTTAAGTTGTTATAAATGAAACCTCTCCCCCTTGTGACCCGTAGGTAGGTCTCTGGAGGTTAGCATTTTAAGGGCCAGATCCTGTTCTACCTATTAGGCATTTAAGTGGTACTTAGGCAGGTAAATATGATCCTATATCATCACCCTGCTTGAGTCTCTGAAAAAGCATTCAGGCAATAGATGAGTGGATTCTCCTCCTCCCCACTTTTTGCAACATAAAGTGAAAATGGGAGTGTGTTATAAAAGTAAGCATATTAATGGCTTTTAGAGACCTAATCAGCATGGAATAAGATAGAATTTAAAAGACTAAGTGCCACTTGGACACCTAAAACTGGAGTAGATCTGCCCCTACTCTCCTAAGGAAACTTGCTGTGTGTGGATTTATGTCTTGGTTTTACGCTCATCTTCAAACTCTTGCATTTGGCTATATGCATCAGAGCCAAGGTGTTTTCTCTCTGTACCTGACCCCTCAGAGATTGGTGCACCACAGATCAGCAGTTTCCCTTTCATGGTGATGCTTACCACTTCATCTTTGTTTGGTACTTCCACATCATGTGATACCAGGCAAGTAACACCCTTGCCATCACTTCCAGGGGATTCTGGATTCTTCTTTTGCACCCCTACATTTGAGGTCTCAAACATCTCCACCTGGCCACTCATTCAGCCGTTGTTTCTGGATGAATGAAGATTAGTAGTGACAAGTCCCAGATTCCTGTTCTTTCTCCAGCTTATAAAGCCACAGGAGAAGGGCTTCAAGGCATCAAGGAAGGAGCTCTGGTCTGGTTCTGCAATGGGCTCTGGTTTTCCCCCCTTCTCCTGAAGTACTCCTCTTATGCTTGATAAGTAAGGGTAGGAAGGTGAACAAGGAGGCTGCTCAACTTACCTGTAGGGAGGCGTTTGTAGTAATAAATAACAGGGTGCAAGAAGTTGGACTGCCAGGCATGCTGTGCCTCCCCCACTGCTCGATTGTAGTAGAAAACATCCTTGTCAGCTCCGGAGAAGTTCCTTCCGTACTCCATTATGACAGCGAAGAGCCCACTGGGGGCCTTTCTCCCCGTGTGCAATTCCAGCTGTGCCAGGATCCCCACGGGATATTCCTCCAGGTACTCAAATGCTGTGGCATTCCTAAGAGCGACAAACACATCTGTGAGCCCTTAGGACCAAGAACTATCCAACTGGCCCAAGAGGGATCCAGCCACATACACAAAACCCAGCAATCCACAGAGGCCACTAAATAGCTAGTATAGGGCCATGAGTTTTAGTCAGTATTGATCTGCACTGGATTGGATTTGGCAATGCAGAGAAAAAGCAGCATCTCCTGTTACCACTGACGGAGACTTAAGGCAGCCCTCTCCCTACTTTCAGCTAATGCAGCCTAGCTCATTGCACTGTTTTTTTCTGGAAACAGTCAAAGGTGAATTCTGGAATAGATTTTTGACTAACAGGACATTCTGGGCTGTTTTGGCCTCTTAAGAAAAGGGACTAATTGACAGATCAGAGAGCTTGAAATAATTACTCACTCTTTTAGCAGAACGATGTCAGCCAGAACACTGAACATTTGGTAGAGCCCAGAGGCCTCATTCACCCGCTTGATGATGGAATTTGTCAGCTGTGTAATAGGGTAGGTTGGCGATGGCCAGGGGACCCCATGGTGACGATTTTCCAACAAGCGATGGACAGCACGAGCTACAATAGTGAGTGAAGAAAGAGAAGGTCAAAAAAAGTTGCTTGGAAGTACAGCTTCCGCCTTTATGATCTTCAGTTGCACAACAAAGACACATGCACGCAGCATAAGGAGAGACAAAAGACAGACTGTGGTCTAGACCAAGTCATGCAACTGTCATCTTGGCCAATCAGCACCTCTCTCCAGGGTTGCTCACAGTTGTAATGATCAACCTTACTGGGTAAAGGTGATCTTTACAGGCAGGTAAGGCAAATATTTTCCCTTAGTGGATCATTGCACAAGAGAAGTGAGATGTTAGTGGATCATTCCATGGGGTGGCAAGGAGGGGGGTCTGTCAATTATATGACAATGAAAAAAACATAACTCTCCTGCCCCAAACTTGCCAAACTTTTTGCTCATCAGCAGAGACCGCACCCAAATCCACTCAAGGCAGCATACCTGGTGGCAGAACTTGGAATCCAGTATATAAGTAAGAGATAAATAGCTAGATAGAGAAGACCACACATACAAATAGACAAAATAGAGACAAATTAAGGACAAGCGATATATACTACAACCTCTCCTCCAGCTCAGACCTTGCTGTGCAACCACAAGCTGGACATAACATGTTCTTCTTGTAATAATAGCTAGATTAAAGGTGATACAGTAATGTTTGCCTTTTGCCAGTCTACTTCTAGGCTCTGAATTGTCCCTTTCCAAACATTGTTTATGGCATAGATCCCAGCACTCACTTGTGTATCGGAATCCATGGATGAAGCCCCCAGCAGATTTCCTGAAGTCGTTGGAGTGGCTGGCAGTGCCCAGGACAAAGAGCCCTCGTGTGCCTCGGGATTCATAACTGGGCTTAATCTGAGGATATTTCCTCTTATTCCCTCTCCCTGGCATCAATCGAAGAGATCTGGAATACAAAAGACCAGTTTAAGCCAGTCGGGAGGTGGAGGGGCTGGGTGACTGCAAATTTTTGAAAGGGGATAAATGTTAAGCTGTGGCCACTCTGAAAGTTACTGACTACAGCAGGATTCATTCCTTTCTCTTGCCAGGAGCACATTGAGAGAGTTTTATTAAAAATTCAGGGTGCCAGTTTTACGGCAGTTTTGGGAGGGGTCATATCTGAGCTTAAGCCACTTGGCACTGAGAACAAGTTTCTGAGGCCAGCTGCTATTGATATAATTTCCATCTACAGTCTGTATTAGGAGATTAAATGAGGCACAGAGTAACAAGAAAATGTACTGAAGGGTGAGGAAAAGCTTTGCTGTGCTGCTCTGCATCTTTACACCACCAATGCAGTCACCAGCTGACTACTTATATGGTATGAGTGGTTCAGGATCTACAGCTACAGAAATGCAGGCCTGTCCCCAGGAAGCTAAATTGTGACAACCCCACACCCTCAGCCCTGACAACATGTCTGTCCAAAGCTGGTAGTATATAGGCTCTCACACACTCACTCCCTATACTTCCCTCCATCAAGGCCCTTGTTCCTTCTCACCGGTTGTATATAGAAAAGTCAAATTTCCAGCCAAGACAGCGGATAACACGGTCGTAGGGTGCCCGGGTGGCAAAATTGTCCAGTTCATCCTGTGGGAGGGTAACAGTCTCTGCACCTGCACTGCTATTGCTGTTCTCCAGGTAAAATCTAAGAGTGATGTGCAACTTCCCTTTCTTGTCCTTGACAATAGCCAGATCTTCCAAGTCACCCTCCAATAGTCCATCCAACGACTTCAGCTGATATGTATCCAGAAGGCCATTGTTAATTGCTCTAAGGAACAAGAATATTAGTATAAAGAGATTGGAAGGCTGTGGACAGACGCAGCTTTCAACTGCATTAAAAAGGGGGGTGGAGTGGCTATTTATTTTGGTTTAACTGTCACACTTGCATGCTCTTAGAGCAATGTAAATGAGCAAAACTGCTGGAGGTTTCATAGAATCACAGGGCTGGAAGAGTCATCCAGTCCAAACCCAGGCTTGAGTGCAGGAATGCTACTCATATACCATCCCTGACCATTGATTATCTAACCCCTTGAAAATCTTCAGTGAAGGATATTCTACAACTTCCCTGGGTATCATTTTAACTTTAATGAAAGAGAGGTGCATGGGATTCAAACCCTCTTCTTGAAACTATGAAAAATGTACCATGCCTCCCACAATTCTTGTCCCAAAGTACACTACAGTTATCCAGCTAATGCCTTTTGTGCCTGTGGGAGCTTAGGGCTGATGATCTCCAGACTAACAGTGCAGGAGACAGGCATCGTATCACCCAAAAAGGCACATGTTCCATTCTCTGTACTGCTTCACCATATGCTTCATAGAGGTAAAAGGGGAGCATAGTTTCCATTCTATCTTACAGTCCCTCTTCTCGGAGTATCTGAGTGCCTCACAGTTATTAATGTTTTTATGTTCATGAAACTCATGTGTGTTAGAACAGCGCTATTATCACCTTGTTACAGATGGGAAAGCGAGGCCCCAAGTCACTTAAGAAGTATGAGTCACTGTGAGGAACTGGGTCTGGGGCTCTGGTGCCCCAGGCTTGCATCCTAATCATTGAACTATCTTTCCATGGTCCATGCAGGCCTCCTGATATTACAGACAAGAGGCTAAATAGTGCCTGAAAAAGGTGTTTTTTCTGATGCAGTTTTCATTAGGAACCATTAAATGCCCTCCTTTCTCTTTATTAACTCACTTCACACAGAACACTGACCAATCTTCAGGTGCTGATGCCCTCCAGTAACTGCAAATCTGCTTTGGATTTAAACTAAAGACCTAAAGGTGAGAGGCCTTCTATCCTGTTCCCAATCCCCCTGACCCACAGAGTCTTCAGCATCAATCCCACCAGTCTCATCAGCCCACAGCAATTTCACATCATAAATATTCCCATTAAAACTAGAAAGGAGAACAGCCTCATACCTTAGATCTCCAACGTAGTGGGTGGCCCAAGAGAGGCGAACACGGGAGCGGCTCACCATGTGTATGAAATTGGTGACGCCCAGAATGTTCTCTGCAGTCTCAAAGGCAGAGTTCCCTCTGCCCAAGATCAACACTGTCTGGCCAGCAAAATCCTCTGGGTTGATGGACACAGTCTCATAGCCCTCAACGTATTCTGAGCCAGTGAAGCTCACTACATTGGGGACCCATGTTCCAGTGGCTACCAACAATAGGCTGTAAACACAATATGGTGAAAAACCATGGTCAGCACTTGGCATCCTCACACCAAATGAAACCAGCCATCTCATTTGCCATCCCATCTCCTCCAGAATGTGATATACGCTGCAGGGTAACTTTCTGCATCCAATCCCACTGAATCAGCTGTTTAATGCAGATGGGTGTTCAGTGCTACACGGAATGGGCAGAAATGTCTTCCTAGCTCCAGTTCCTGAGCTGTTTATTCTCCATAGTCTAAGGATAAATAGCACTTATAATTTTATTTAAGCAAAGGCTCACTGCAGATGCTATGTAAGTGTCCAGTCTTTTCCCAAGTCTCTGGATTCTTGTATAAAAAGATAAGAGTGCCAGTGAGGTTCAAATAAAAATTATTTTCCTCTATGCATTTGTAATGCATTGCCTTTTAATGTCCTTCTGGAATAGTACAGAAAATGACCTCAATTTTTTCAGGAAAACATTTCATTTGATAAAAATATTACTATTAGATCATTACAATAAAGCTGACTTTTCTGATTGGACCTCCTGAGACCAAACATTATTTAATTTTAGGGAACTATTTATGAGATGGAAAGGGAAATCAAGTAACCTCAGCTAGTAGCACTTCCTGCTGTTTTTCTCCAGGGCTCTTGGTGCAACATGCTAATGGCACCACTTCGTAACTATTTTGGGGTGAGGGTCTGAAATGGTGATTTGGGGGGGTTCCTTGAGTAAATGAATCGCTGTGAAGGCAGGAATTTGGAGTCAGTGGCTCAGGAGGCCCCTTTGTCTTAGGTTCCTGACCTTGGCCAGAGCTGTCCCTAGGGGTGTGCAGGGACCAGGGCAAATCAGCCGGTGCAGGGCCTGGGGGTAAGGGGGTGTAGCGAGTGACTGAAACCAGCAGTGCCTGGATGCAATGCTCAGCAGTGGTGGCACATGGTGGGTGTGGTGGGGCCTGTATGGCACTGTTTGAGGGGGTCCCCAAAGCGCAGGGCCCAGGGCGATCGCCCCAATTCCCACCCCCCCGGGATGGCCCTGCCTTTAGCACCCCATTATTCCAGTTCTGCCATCATCCCATCTGCAAGTCAATGAGGCTTGATCAGACATAACATACCACCTACTACATCAGTTCTGGGTTCCCAAACAGAGTCCACCTCTGTGAGTACCGCAAGGAAAGTGGCAGTTTTTCAGGAGCTAACATTTCACCCCACAACCCAACTGAGTGCTAGGTATAAGCGGTGTAGCTGACCACCACTTCACTGGTTACCTGCATCTATAGGTCTGGCTGTTCTGGTCTGTAAGGATGAAGTAATGGCCGTTCCATGCCTGTTGATCCCTGTCCAGCGTCACGTGGGTGATGGCAGTGTTGTACTGAACTTGGAGCTCCAGCCTGGAAGCAAAGTCTTCAAGGTAACGCACCATTGTATCGGCATGGGGGAAGAAGTCACGGGAATAGTGTCGGAAGAGCAGGCGGCTGTCGTGGCTGAGCAACGAGTTCCAGTCATGGCGGAGGTTGAACTCACTGTTGGATTTGCCTGTGTACCGCTTGTTAATGCTGATGAGCTTGCGATGGCGGGGGTAGAGGGCAAAGAAGCTGCCGGGTGCGTGGCTGCGTTCGAACACCACGTAATTTCGGCTCGCTTGCTGGAGGAAATAGGCCATCTGCAAGCCTGAGGGGCCGGCTCCTATGATGCAGTAGTCATGATGCACAAGGGCAGAGGCACGGCTGGTGCAGGCCAAGCTCATGCACAAGGCAAAGGTCAGGAGCAGACCCCGTGCGCCCCTGGCCAGAGGGAAAACCATCGTGGAGCAGTGAGGCCAGCTCTGTTCAAAAGAAAACCCAGACACAAGGTGCTCGTGGGGCCTAGGGCAGCTGCTGCCTCGGAGCTCTGCAGCTCGGCAGGGGTACAAGTCCTTGCCAGGGCTCCGTGGAGCAAGCCCTGCAGATCCTGTGGTAGGCATGCCTGGCCCCCTTTGCCCCACAGCTGGGGCAGCCTCCCTTGGACCTGGCCAACTCCCACTTCGGAGGGACACATGGCAGACCCCTGAGCAGTCCCCTGCCCCCACAGGCAGAAAGGGGCATCAATCCTCAACTACCCCCCACCACTGCCCCAGAATCAATGGGGAGAGGCAGTGTGAACCTTCCAGCCAATGGGTTGAGAGTCCCCCATTACCCTATTGCAACCTAGTCAATGGGGAAAGGCAATGTGAACCCTCCAGCCAATGGGGTGAGACCCTCCCCCCCCCACTGCCCACCAGCCAATGAGGAAAGGCAGTGTGAACCCTCGGGCCAATGGGGAACATGGGGGTCACTGAACACTCCCCTCCCCACTGGCCACTGGGGAAATGGTCATGATCCCCGGCCCCTCCCCCACCGCCCGCCCAATAGAAGAAAGGGCGGAGGCAGCGTTCGACGTGACGTACTGACGCACCTGAAACGTCGGGCCGCAGCGAATCAATCAGGCAGGTCTCGTCCGGCTGCCCAGTAAACACCAAACGTGGCCCATAGAGTCGCAACTCGCTCCAGTCCTCCCGCGCCTGACAGACTGTACACTACCAACGAGACGGGCGGCAAGGCAGCCAGCGCCTCCGGAGGGAGCCCTGGCGAGGAGAGCGGTTGAATCAGCGGGGCGCGCCTGTGCGGAGCCCCCCCCCCC